TGAACCTTACGACACTTGAAAAAAGAAGGGAGAGGGGAAGATATGAGAGGAACGTATTAAATTCTCAGGGGAACTGACAGAGTGGAAATAGATGAAATGTTCACACGGAATAGTAACAGAACGAGGGGACATGGGTGGAAGCTGGAAACTCAGATGAGTCACAGAGATGTTAGGAAGTTTTCTTATAGCGTGAGAGTAGTGGAAAAATGAAATGCACTTGGGGAGTAGGTTGTGGAAACAATATAAATAATTTTAAAACTAGATATGATAGGGAAATTGGACAGGAATCATTGCTGTAAACAACCGATGGCTGGAAAGGCGGGATCCAAGAGTAAATGTTCGATCCTGCAGGCACAAATAGGTAAGTATACACACACTAACACTCATTTGGGAAACTGAGTACCGAAATGAGCGACAGGGACGTTAGAAAGAACTTTTGCTGTGTCAGTAGTTAACAGGTGGAATGCATTAGGCAGTGATGTGGTGGATGCTGACTCCATACACAGTTTCAAATGTAGATATGATAGAGCCCAATAGGTTCAGCTACCTGTACACCAGTTGATTGACAGTTGAGAGGCGGGACCAAAGAGCCAGAGCTCAACCCCCGCAAGCACAACTAGGTGAGCACACACACACACACACACACACACACACACACACACACACACACACACACACACACACACACACACACACACACACACACACACAAGCGCGTGCGCATACGCAGCCTTCCCATTTACCCAATAGAGGGCATTCTTCTTCCCCCTACCCTCCTCCTTTCCTATTCCTCTACTCCCTTCCCCCCCTATGCGTAACTTGCCTACTCCTACCACGCCCTCACACCACCTACATCTCCCCCACAGTCAATCCACCCCTATTCCTCCCCCAATACCTCCCTCTCTCCCTCCATCTCCCTCTCTTCACCCTCCCTCTCCCAACACTTCCCTTCTCCCTGGCTACTCTCACACGTCTCTGACCTCCGTTCATTACTCTCACAACAACTTGTCACTCTCCCAGGTCAAGCATCCAACCACTTGGGCTGGACGGTAGAGCGACGGTCTCGCTTCATGCAGGTCGGCGTTCAATCCTCGACCGTCCAAGTGGTTGGGCACCATTCCTTCCCCTTGTAAAGGATCCTCTGACTTACCATCAACCATCCCGGCCTCTCCATCACTACGTCGCATTTTGGCGTATAAATCCCCTACGGCCAATAACCGATGTACTCAGACTCACAGCGGCTCGAACAAGTTGACGGGACGTCCCGTTTTCTATTGGTCGGTTCCTTAGAATTAGGTTAGGGGTTCGGGCAATGAAGTACATCAGTTTAGAGACGTTGGGTACACTCGGGAAGGGTAGGGGGGGGGGGGGGGTTTGGAAGAGTAGGGAAGGAGGTTGGAAGAGTAGGGAAGGGGGGTTGGAAGAGTGGGGAAGGGGGGGGGGGTTGCAAGAGTAGGGAAGGTAAGGACGGGGGGTTGGAAGAGTAGGGAAGGGGGGTTGGAAGAGTAGGGAAGGGGGGTTGGAAGAGTAGGGAAGGGGGGTTGGACGAGTAGGGAAGGGGGGTTGGAAGAGTAGGGAAGGGGGTTGGAAGAGTAGGGAAGGGGGGTTGGACGAATAGGGAAGGGGATTGGAAGAGTAGGGAAGGGGGGTTGGAAGAGTAGGGAAAGGGGGGTTGGACGAGTAGGGAAGGGGATTGGAAGAGTAGGGAAAGGGGGGTTGGACGAGTAGGGAAGGGGATTGGAAGAGTAGGGAAGGGTTGCCACGTCATAGTACGACTCCCTCTAACGTCGTCACCGCTGCCATTCCACTAAACTAACCCATCCATCCCATTTACTGCCAATAAGCGACTCAAAAGTTAAAACATTTTTTTTTTAAATACAAAAGAAAAAAGAAATTTAATAACAAAATGAAGAGCACAAACACCCACATGAAGATAGAGGACTCAGTCGTGAAGGTGAGAGACCAGGAGCCCGACCAGGAGCCCGACCAGGAGCCCGACGTAGTGCGCGACCAGGAGCCCGACGTAGTGCGCGACCACAAGGGCGACCTGGTGCGCGACCACAAGGGCGACCTGGTGCGCGACCACAAGGGCGACGTGGTGCGCGACCACAAGGGCGACGTGGTGCGCGACCACAAGGGCGACGTGGTGCGCGACCACAAGGGCGACGTGGGGCGCGACCACAAAGGCGACGTGGTGCGCGACCACAAGGGCGACGTGGTGCGCGACCACAAGGGCGACGTGGTGCGCGACCACAAGGGCGACGTGGTGCGCGACCACAAGGGCGACGTGGTGCGCGACCACAAGGGCGACGTGGTGCGCGACCCAAACCATGACCAGGTTGCTGGCGGCCGCAGCCAACAGCGGCGGCTAAAGCAGCTGCTCCTCTGGTCACTAGCCCTCCTCGTGAGGCTCTTCGCCTTCCTCAGTAAGGGCCTTTCGGCCTTGCTCAGACGCCTTACCGTCCAGCCACAGGATAGAGAGACTCACCAGGTACAGCACCTGGATGAGGAGACTGACCAGGTACAGCACCTGGATGAGGAGACTGACCAGGTACAGCACCTGGATGAGGAGACTGACCAGGTACAGCACCTGGATGAGGAGACTGACCAGGTACAGCACCTGGATGAGGAGACTGACCAGGTACAGCACCTGGATGAGGAGGAGACTGGATGAGGAGACTGACCAGGTACAGCACCTGGATGAGGAGACTGACCAGGTACAGCACCTGGATGAGGAGACTGACCAGGTACAGCACCTGGATGAGGAGACTGACCAGGTACAGCACCTGGATGAGGAGACTGACCAGGTACAGCACCTGGATGAGGAGACTGACCAGGTACAGCACCTGGATGAGGAGACTGACCAGGTACAGCACCTGGATGAGGAGACTGACCAGGTACAGCACCTGGATGAGGAGACTGACCAGGTACAGCACCTGGATGAGGAGACTGACCAGGTACAGCACCTGGATGAGGAGACTGACCAGGTACAGCACCTGGATGAGGAGACTGACCAGGTACAGCACCTGGATGAGGAGACTCACCAGGTACAGCACCTGGATGAGGAGACTCACCAGGTACAGCACCTGGACGAGGAGACTCACCAGGTACAGCACCTGGACGAGGAGACTCACCAGGTACAGCACCTGGATGAGGAGACTCACCAGGTACAGCAGTTGGATGAGGAGACTCACCAGGTACAGCAGTTGGATGAGGAGACTCACCAGGTACAGCAGTTGGATGAGGAGACTCACCAGGTACAGCAGTTGGATGAGGAGACTCACCAGGTACAGCAGTTGGATGAGGAGACTCACCAGGTACAGCAGTTGGATGAGGAGACTCACCAGGTACAACAGTTGGATGATTAGACTAACCAGGTCCAGCACCTGGATGAGGAGACTCACCAGGTACAGCAGTTGGATGAGGAGACTCAACAGGTACAGCAGTTGGATGAGGAGACTCACCAGGTACAGCACCTGGATGAGGAGACTCACCAGGTACAGCAGTTGGATGAGGAGACTCACCAGGTACAGCAATTGGATGAGGAGACTCACCAGGTACAGCAGTTGGATGAGGAGACTCACCAGGTACAGCAATTGGATGAGGAGACTCACCAGGTACAGCAGTTGGATGAGGAGACTCACCAGGTACAGCAGTTGGATGAGGAGACTCACCAGGTACAGCAGTTGGATGAGGAGACTCACCAGGTCCAGCACCTGGATGAGGAGACTCACCAGGTCCAGCACCTGGATGAGGAGACTCACCAGGCCCAGGAGGTAGCTTTCTCCGAAGAAATCGTTGTCTTAGACCAGACAACGTTGATGGTCGACATCAACGATGACTCTCGGACCATCACCCATGACGATTGGATGAAGGTCTCTTTTAATAGCGTGGTGTTTCAGCGTTTCCACGGCTACAATTCCATCGAGACTCTTGGATGGTTCCACGGGCACAGCCTATTTTATAAGGTCGCCTGCACGGAAGAATTACTTTATGCGTTTGAATACGAAAAGTGCGCCCTCGACGTCCTCCAGAACACTGGGGTCACCCCACGTGTTTTGGGATTCTGTACGGCACCACCTGTCTTGATCATGACGGCAGTGGGTGACCTGAGCTTGCTGGAGTACCTCGAGGTGTGTGCCACTTGGGAAGTTATGCCCGCACTTCAAGCCACAGCGGAGGCACTCGACAAAATCCATAATACGGGCATTGTCCACGGAAATTTCACATTTGACAATGTGATGATCGATATCGTACAAAATGTATATTACATCGTGGACTTCTCCGCGTCATCATTCGAAGGCTGGGAGCGCCCTGAAAACCCAGACGAGCCGCACTTCGCAGAGGAAACGCTGTGCGAAAATTATATAGCGCATTCATCGCAAGATGTCTTCTCGTTTGGGAAACACGTACAGACCCTCTGCCAAGTGAGAGACCTCCCGCAGGAAGTAGAGCAGGCGTCACTATGCCTCATGGATGACGACCCGCAATACCGGCCCTCAATGGCACAGATGGCAGAGAAATTGTTTGAAATACAAAATATCTATTTCGAGTCTTCGTTTGAAAAAACGATTCCAATGTATAATGATAAGGCTTTCATAACCGAAATGTCGCGGGGAGACGAACTGCTGCACACACAGCAGTTCGTCCAGCAGCTGGATGAGGAGACTGACCAGGTCCAGCAGCTGGATGAGGAGACTGACCAGGTCCAGCACCTGGATGAGGAGACTGACCTGGTCCAACACCTGGATGAGGAGACTCACCAGGTCCAGCACCTGGATGAGGAGACTCACCAGGTCCAGCAGCTGGATGAGGAGACTCACCAGGTCTAGCACCTTGATGAGGAGACTCACCAGGTCTAGCACCTGGATGAGGAGACTCACCAGGTCCAGCACCTGGATGAGGAGACTCACCAGGCTCAGCACCTGGATGAGGAGACTCACCAGGCCCAGGAGGTAGCTTTCTCCGAAGAAATCGTTGTCTTAGACCAGACAACGTTGATGGTCGACATCAACGATGACTCTCGGACCATCACACATGACGATTGGATGAAGCTCTCTTTTAATAGCGTGGTGTTTCAGCGTTTCCACGGCTACAATACCATCGAGACTCTTGGCTGGTTCCACGGGCACAGCCTATTTTATAAGGTCGCCTGCACGGAAGAATTACTTTATGCGTTTGAATACGAAAAGTGCGCCCTCGACGTCCTCCAGAACACTGGGGTCACCCCACGTGTTTTGGGATTCTGTACGGCACCACCTGTCTTGATCATGACGGCAGTGGGTGACCTGAGCTTGCTGGAGTACCTCGAGGTGTGTGCCACTTGGGAAGTTATGCCCGCACTTCAAGCCACAGCGGAGGCACTCGACAAAATCCATAATACGGGCATTGTCCACGGAAATTTCACATTTGACAATGTGATGATCGATATCGTACAAAATGTATATTACATCGTGGACTTCTCCGCGTCATCATTCGAAGGCTGGGAGCGCCCTGAAAACCCAGACGAGCCGCACTTCGCAGAGGAAACGCTGTGCGAAAATTATATAGCGCATTCATCGCAAGATGTCTTCTCGTTTGGGAAACACGTACAGACCCTCTGCCAAGTGAGAGACCTCCCGCAGGAAGTAGAGCAGGCGTCACTATGCCTCATGGATGACGACCCGCAATACCGGCCCTCAATGGCACAGATGGCAGAGAAATTGTTTGAAATACAAAATATCTATTTCGAGTCTTCGTTTGAAAAAACGATTCCAATGTATAATGATAAGGCTTTCATAACCGAAATGTCGCGGGGAGACGAACTGCTGCGCTCACAGCAGGGGTGAGCTCAAGATGGGAGGGGGTGTCATCACCCCCCCCCCCAAATCCACCCCCAATTCTCCTGAATGACCAGGAGCACAGTGACCCTTCAGCCCCTTGACCCCCTAAACCTCCCACCCTTGACCTCGTATGGAGTGAGAGAGGAGGCATAGTAGTGGAGGTGGCTGCAGACTCCTCCACTGCCCGCTTCCCTCTCTCATTCTGTACGAGGCCAAACAAATGTGAGGAAAGGTACGGGGTTGACCTCATAGCAAAGGGGCGGAGGATAACTCGGGCTGGGCGGACAGGGCGACCGCCGGGTTGGGCGGGTGTTCGGTGGTGCTGTGGTGGTGTTCGGTGGTGGTTGTGGTGGAGGTTGCTGTCTACCGCGGGTGGAGGCTGCTGTCTACCGCGGGTGGAGGCTGCCGTCTACCGTGGGTGGAGGCTGCTGTCTACCGCGGGTGGAGGCTGCTGTCTACCGCGGGTGGAGGCTGCCGTCTACCGCGGGTGGAGGCTGCTGTCTACCGCGAGTGGAGGTACACCGCCCCACAACACCACCCGTGATCACCATCACCCGTGATCACCACCCATGATCACCACCACCCGTGATCACCACCCGTGATCACCACCACCCGTGATCACCACCCATGATCACCACCACCCGTGATCACCACCACCCGTGATCACCACCACCTGTGATCACCACCACCCATGATCACCACCACCCGTGATCACCACCCATGATCACCACCACCCGTGATCACCACCCATGATCACCACCACCCGTGATCACCACCACCCGTGATCACCACCACCCGTGATCACCACCACCCGTGATCACCACCACCCGTGATCACCACCACCCGTGATCACCACCACCCGTGATCACCACCACCCGTGATCACCACCACCCGCGATCACCACCACCCGTGATCACCACCACCCGTGATCACCACCACCCGTGATCACCACCACCCGTGATCACCACCACCCATGATCACAACCCGTGATCACCACCACCCGTGATCACCACTACCCGTGATCACCACCACCCGTGATCACCACCACCCATGATCACCACCACCCGTGATCACCACCACCCGTGATCACCACCACCCGTGATCACCACCACCCACGATCACCAGCACCCACGATCACCAGCACCCACGATCACCACCACCCGCGATCGCCACCACCCGTGATCACCACCAATGGCTTGATCACCCCCCCAATCCACCCCCAATTCTCCTGAATGACCAGGAGCACAGTGACCCCTCAGCCCCTTGACCCCCTAAACCTCCCACCCTTGACCTCGTATGGAGTGAGAGAGGAGGCATAGTAGTGGAGGTGGCTGCAGACTCCTCCACTGCCTGCTTCCCTCTCTCATTCTGTACGGGGCCAGACAAATGTGAGGAAGGGTACCGCGGAAAGTGTGCCTTCACCCGTCTACCGCGGGTGGAGGCACACCGCCCCACAACACCACCGATCACCACCCGTCATCACCACCACCCGTCATCACCACCACCCGTCATCACCACCACCCGTCATCACCACCACCCGTCATCACCACCACCCGTCATCAAGACCTCCGCAGAGAAGAGGAGTACCTGTCGGGGGTGTAAGACTCAACGGAGAAATCAATCCTTCAGGCACCCGGGGAGACCTTTGTGATGGAACACCCATTGAGATCATTCCCGTATACACGACTCTTTTTTTATTTTTAAAAAGAGTCGAGTATACGGGAATGTATATAATTTTTTTTTTAAACTTCTATCCCCTGACACAGAAGCTGCGAACTGGGCGTATGTTCTCTGATAGTATGTTGTTCTCTGATAGTATGTTGTTCTCTGATAGTGTGTTGTTCTCTGATAGTGTGTTCTCTGATAGTGTGTTCTCTGATAGTGTGTTGTTCTCTGATAGTGTGTTGTTCTCTGATAGTGTGTTGTTCTCTGATAGTGTGTTGTTCTCTGATAGTGTGTTGTTCTCTGATAGTGTGTTGTTCTCTGATAGTGTGTTGTTCTCTGATAGTATGTTGTTCTCTGATAGTATGTTGTTCTCTGATAGTGTGTTGTTCTCTGATAGTGTGTTGTTCTCTGATAGTGTGTTGTTCTCTGATAGTGTGTTCTCTGATAGTGTGTTGTTCTCTGATAGTGTGTTGTTCTCTGATAGTGTGTTGTTCTCTGATAGTGTGTTGTTCTCTGATAGTGTGTTGTTCTCTGATAGTATGTTGTTCTCTGATAGTGTGTTGTTCTCTGATAGTGTGTTGTTCTCTGATAGTGTGTTGTTCTCTGATAGTGTGTTGTTCTCTGATAGTGTGTTGTTCTCTGATAGTGTGTTGTTCTCTGATAGTGTGTTGTTCTCTGATAGTGTGTTGTTCTCTGATAGAGTGTTGTTCTCTGATAGTATGTTCACTGATAGTATGTTCACTGATAGTATGTTCACTGATAGTAAGCTCTCTGGTAGTATGCTCACTGATAGTATGTTCACTGATAGTATGTTCTCTGATAGTATGTTCACTGATAGTATGTTCTCTGATAGTATGTTCTCTGATAGTGTGATCTCTGATAGTGTGTTCTCTGATAGTATGTTCACTGATAGTATGTTCACTGATAGTATGTTCTCTGATAGTATGTTCTCTGATAGTATGTTCACTGATAGCATGTTCTCTGATAGTCACGGCGGCTGGATTGGGAGATTCGAATGCAACACAAAGAGCTTAACCCAAAAAAGGTCTAATCTAATATGCATTTATATAGTATTTTTGATTCTGTAATTTGCATTTATACTGGTGAGGGATTTAGCACGTTTCGTCTCATCATTGGTGTGGTGGAACACACACACGCAACACTAGCGTGCGTGTGTTGGCACTTGGCTTGCACGCCTCTCTAATGGGTGGTATGGTTGATTCAAATATTATATTGATTCATCTAATTATTAAAATATTAACACTTTTATATTCATAGTCAATTACAAATAAGAGAATTTGTGTAGTAACGCTGTCAGTTGTTGGCTTGTTTATGAACGAGAGCGCGGGTCTTGTTTGCCATCATATTCCTTGTTTTGGCGACCTACTCAACTCTCTCCCTAAGCATAACTCATCAGTTCGGTCACACATTGTCCTCTGGTACTTCTGTCTCAAAGGTGTGTGTGTGTGTGTGTGTGTGTGTGTGTGTGTGTGTGTGTGTGTGTATAGTGTGTTGTTCTCTGATAGTGTGTTGTTCTCTGATAGTGTGTTGTTCTCTGATAGAGTGTTGTTCTCTGATAGTATGTTCACTGATAGTATGTTCACTGATAGTATGTTCACTGATAGTAAGCTCTCTGGTGGTATGCTCACTGATAGTATGTTCAATGATAGTATGTTCTCTGATAGTATGTTCACTGATAGTATGTTCTCTGATAGTATGTTCTCTGATAGTGTGATCTCTGATAGTGTGGTTCTCTGATAGTATGTTCACTGATAGTATGTTCACTGATAGTATGTTCTCTGATAGTATGTTCTCTGATAGTATGTTCACTGATAGCATGTTCTCTGATAGTCACGGCGGCTGGATTGGGAGATTCGAATGCAACACAAGAGCTTAACCCAAAAAAGGTCTAATCTAATATGCATTTATATTAGTATTTTTGATTCTGTAATTTGCATTTATACTGGTGAGGGATTTAGCACGTTTCGTCTCATCATTGGGGTGGTTGTGTGTGTGTGTGTGTGTGTGTGTGTGTGTGTGTGTGTGTGTACTCACCTAATTGTACTCACCTAATTGTGCTTGCGGGGGTTGAGCTCTGGCTCTTTGGTCCCGCCTCTCAACCGTCAATCAACTGGTGTACAGATTCCTGAGCCTATTGGGCTCTATCATATCTACATTTGAAACTGTGAATGGAGTCAGCCTCCACCACATCACTTCCTAATGCATTCCATTTGCTAACTACTCTGACACTGAAAAAGTTCTTTCTAACGTCTCTGTGGCTCATTGGGTACTCAGCTTCCACCTGTGTCCCCTTGTTCGCGTCCCACCAGTGTTGAAAAGTTCATCCTTGTTTACCCGGTCGATTCCCCTGAGGATTTTGTAGGTTGTGATCATGTCCCCCCTTACTCTTCTGTCTTCCAGTGTCGTGAGGTGCATTTCCCGCAGCCTTTCCTCATAACTCATGCCTCTTAGTTCTGGGACTAGTCTAGTAGCATACCTTTGGACTTTTTCCAGCTTCGTCTTGTGCTTGACAAGGTACGGGCTCCATGCTGGGGCCGCATACTCCAGGATTGGTCTTACATATGTGGTGTACAAGATTCTGAATGATTCCTTACACAGGTTCCTGAACGCCGTTCTGATGTTAGCCAGCCTCGCATATGCCGCAGACGTTATTCTCTTTATGTGGGCTTCAGGAGACAGGTTTGGTGTGATATCAACTCCTAGATCTTTCTCTCTGTCTGTTTCATTAAGTACTTCATCTCCTATTCTGTATCCTGTGCCTGGCCTCCTGTTTCCACTGCCTAGTTTCATTACTTTGCATTTACTCGGGTTGAACTTCAACAGCCATTTGTTGGACCATTCACTCAGTCTATCCAGGTCATCTTGTAGCCTCCTACTATCATCCTCTGTTTCAATCCTCCTCATAATTTTTGCATCGTCGGCAAAGTGTGTGTGTGTGTGAGTGTGTGTGTCGAATCTCAAACGTGTGTGTGTGTGTGTGTGTGTGTGTGGAATCTCAAACGTGTGTGTGTGTGTGTGTGTGTGGGAATCTCAAACGTGTGTGTGTGTGTGTGTAGTGGAATTCAGAAGCAAGGGAAAGTGGCCAAGTTGGGGGAACAAAAGCAAAGGAATTTGGCCAAGTTGGGGGAACAAAAGCAAGAGAAAGTGGCCAAGTTGGGGGAACAAAAGCAAGGGAATTTGGCCAAGTTGGGGAATCAAAAGCAAGGGAAATTGGCCAAGTTGGGGGAACAAAAGCAAAGGAAATTGGCCAAGTTGGGGAATGAAAAGCAAGGGAAATTGGCCAAGTTGGGGAATCAAAAGCAAGGGAAAGTGGCCAAGTTGGGGAAGGTTAATTTGGGGAGGCGTTGAACGTGGCGAACGAAATCGAAATAGGTGGGAAAGTCTGGTATATGGTCAGAGTAAAGAGATATAAAGGGGCAAGGGTACTAGAGGTTCGTGTGGGTAGATTGTAGAAAAAGTGGCACGAAAAAATACAAAAAGATACCCGGGGCAATATTAAAAAAAAGAGGACTGATGAACGGCCCAAAATAGTAAAGAACTTTACCCCTTTGTAACACATTTACGGAATCAATTGATTACAAAATTTCTCCTGTCAAAATAATTGCGCTTCCGGAAAAAAAATGATTAAGGATCTCGAAGAATTTGTTCCAGATGTTGCGCAATCTCCTGGTCTCAGACGAGAGAAGGAAAGACGTCCGCTTGGCTCAAGAAGATGGTGTTGGGTCTGGCGTCAAATAATAGCGGTGGAAGTTGTTTTTCGAGTCGGCCATATTTTAGCTATTGTCCCGCTGACAGTCAACACGACTCCTCAAGTTTCTTCCGTCTTCCTCGCCGATATTATTTGTACCTCCAAAAATTACCCAGCGAAATATTGGGAGGGTGTTGGCGTCACTGGAGGAGGGAGGTCAGCCCCTGAGTGGCGGATATTGCTAATCTCAAGAAATCCCAAGAAAAATATTACCACTGGCTGTACGAAGGCCATGAAGATGAATGGCTGTCTTTGGCTCCATTGTTTTCTCTCGGTGAAGTTGTCAAATGCTGAAGCTCTAGATAAAAATGTTTCTTACTCTTTTGTTTCTCTGTAATTGTCACTGTCTCTCTCTGTCTCTTTCTTTCTCTGTCTCTTTCTTTCTCTGTCTCTTTCTTTATCTGTCTCTTTCCTTATCTGTTTGTTTCTTTATCTGTCTGTTTTTCTCTGTTTCTTTGTCTGTTTCTTTGTCTCTTTCTCTTCTCTCTCTCTCTCTCTCTGTCTCTGTGTCTGTGTCTGTCTGTCTGTGGTTCACCCGGTCGAGCGGGTGAAAGGAGCCGGTCGGCCGAGCGGACAGCACGCTGGGCTTGTGATCCTGTGGTCCCGGGTTCGATCCCAGGCGCCGGCGAGAAACTATGGGCAGAGTTTCTTTCACCCTATGCCCCTGTTACCTAGCAGTAAAATTGGTACCTGGGTGTTAGTCAGCTGTTACCGGCTGCTTCCTGGGGGTGGAGGCCTGGTCGAGGACCGGGCCGCGGGGACACTAAAGCCCCGAAATCATTTCAAGATAACCTCAAGATAACCACCCAGATTCGATCCCCGGAAGAGGCAGAAACAATTGGGCAGGACAAATCCACAAGGGCCGTGAAGAGGATTCGACCCTGAATTGACCAGGTGTAAAACCCTGGTTTGTGCCTCGGAGAGGCTGCAGGATCCAGTAAGTTCAGTAGAACTTCGGTTTCAACTCCTTTTGAACACGTCGTAGCTCAGTCCATTAAGGCAGCTTCTGGGATGCTCTCGGATGCAGGTTCGAATCCTCTTCACGGCCCTTGTGGATTTGTTCATTTGATGCATCACGCAATTTTGATTTCTGTGTGTAATTGGGCAGAATTTCACTCACCCTGATGTCTGTGTTCACCTAGAAGTAAATAGGTACCTGGTAGTTACAGCTGCTATGGGCTGCTTCCTGTGTGTGTGCGTGTGTGTGTGTGTGTTTACTAGTTGTGTTTTTGCGGGGGATGAGCTTTGCTCTTTCGGCCCGCC